ACGAGCGCACTTTGTGCTGAGGTTTCTGGAATCAGCGCTGCTTTCAAACGTGAACGTGAGTCCGCTCGGTGTCGTTATCATTTTTACCCGGCTGACTTCGACACGTGCCGGTGAATCAACCCACCTCCATGTCGCTAGTTTTCCACCGGGCGGTGATGTTAGCCTCTATGGAGCTAGGATTGGGACAATATTCAGCGTAACTTGTACCAAGTTTTGTAACTTTGAACATGTTTCATCACATGTAACTTTGGATTCATAACTTGTAACTTTAGTTTTCTAACTTGTAATTCTCAATTCTTACTTGTATTTCTTGTTTTGTAACAGGAACATTGTGGTTTGTACATGTATTTTTTATTTTGTAAAATCAAACTTTTATTTTGTACATTTACTACTCATTTTGTAACATCAAACATTCATTCAGAAACATGAAACTTTCGTTTTGTAACTAGCAGACTTCCAAATTGAATAAATCAAGGTACAAGTTTGAAATCAAAACTCTCAAAACACACATTTCATTCTACAGGTACAAACCTCAAATCTACAGTGTTACAGATCTTTTTGTCTCGATTCTAGCGTCAGTGGGAGGAACTTGGGTGGAACCAATGAGAGCACGAGCCTTAGCTTAGAATCACATATTCTAAGTTAATTGTGTGATTTGTAACAAAAACAAATCATATATCTATATTGGAGAGAAGCTCTCTGCCGAGCGGTGGAGGCGACAGAAAGGCTGTTGGCTGTGTTTCAATCGCCCAAACAGCACGGAAGCAGCCGGCCAATTGCTGACAAGAAAATCAAACGGTAGGAATGGGAATGTATCCAATCAGCGTCGACGTTGTTTCAGAAGCATGATGGGCGATAGAGGTACCGCCCAAGGCTTTCGTTGGTGTTCGGTAGAACTCGGCAGAGTCTCGACTACTGCAGCACGTTTTTGGTCGTGACGCAGATGTAACATGGACGCCGCCAGTGACTACAACCAGCATGGATACCGGATCTCAGCAGCCACTGAATTCAGTTCGGTCTCTTCTCCAGTATCCGTTCGAGAGGAGAACTATGGTGGAAAAACTTAATGTCAAAGAGCTTGGACCAGATCAGCCCGACGTAAAGATAAGCCAGCAGGAGAAGGAGAGAGGTAAACTGTACACACAGGCTTCTCCCAAAATTGGTACACCAGGAAGGCTTGGCTAGCTGGATGCAATCACGCTAATGCGTTATTTTGCTTTCCGTGTTTGTTATTCAAAACGGCTGGGACAGATAAGGCATGGATTGAGTCAGGAGTTACGGACATGAAACATTTTTCTGAGAAGGTGAAGAAACACGAGTCATCCCGGGCACACATGGACAACACGATGAAGCTAGCTATGCTAGGCAGATCTAACATTGCCATGCAGCTAGAGACGTGGGGCACAGGCTTGCAGTGAAGAAACACAAGGAAGAAGTGGATCAGAACCGGCACATTTTGTCCGAGATGTCAACACAGTGTATGAGCACAAGGATGACCTCCTCAGATTTTTCCAGATGATCAGAGACTCGGATGACTTTGATACAGTCACTGAGAGAGAGGCAGGAGGCTTTGTGAGAATGCTGGAGGAAGAAGATTTCGGCTTTCTGCTGGCATTGTGTCACAAGATCATGCCACACGTGGACATGCTGTTAAACCAGCTGCAGAAGAGGAACATTGACTCTGTCTCCATCACAGGGGTCATCCAGAGCTTCACCAACAGCATGCAAAAGATCAGGTACATACTTGTTTATTTAATATTATTGTGATGAAATTCTCCAGTATGTTAGTTTCACAAACAGTAATGTGGATGTGGACCATTCATGGTCATGTTATTTTATGTGCAATTTAATGCAGTATTTTTCAACCTTGGTCCGCAAGGCAGCGTGCCAATAGTCAGACGCACCTGGATTAATCAGTTTGTCCAATGATGTAAGACAGGAAATAAAAGAGCTGTGCTTAATTCAGGAAATAGTGAAGTTGTGCACAAAGCTCAGAAAGCACAAGTTTGTTAAAAAAAATAGCACAGCCCCACCAAAAATATTTTTCACCAGCCGCCACTGGTTGCAGTTTCATCATCTGAGCTGCTTTTTAAGATCTAGGTAAACTTGTTCAATTTGAGGTTAAAAACAAACGTTTTCACATATTTTCCATGTAGTTTTTTGCCAGTTCCTCTTCTGAAAGGTAGACAATTGTTTTTCTCTTTCCCTCAAAAAATCTTAATATTCTCCTAGTTTGGCCCAGCACAGTTCACTTCCCAATAGCAGCAACAGCCTTATATCATAACCACATAAATGGAGAAAATGTTCAGTAGCAATGAGAGAATTTGCTGTTGCGTTTAAGTGATGTTAACTATTATTTAACATTTAAACTTATTTTCTGAGTTTTTTTATTTATTCAAAAAACCCTGGTAAGGGATGTTTTTCTGTATTTGGAGCATCAGAAAAAGTTTTATGGTGGTGGTGATGTTTTAAAGTCACTGAGAAACTGCACGCATGCAGTTTGTTGTTTTGCTGCTAATACAGTAGCAGGTGCAGCTGCTAATACAGTAGCAGGTGCAGCTGCTAATACAGTAGCAGGTGCAGCTACATATTTTAGCAATAAAAATGGTATGTTGTCATGGAATTCATGCATTAGTTTTTGTTTGCTTTGAACCCAGAGCAGACGTCACACGCCAGACGACATCAACACTGCATACTTTAGTATTTGTTCATATATCGCAAGTAATATCAATATCGCAATATTAAGCACCGTTATCGAATATTGCCGGTTTTCCTAATATCATGCAGCCCTAATATGATGTTATAAGGTTTCACTTACGGTGGCACTCCGTTGTAATTTTGAAACAACTGAAGGCACTGGAGAAATGGTTTTCTTTTGCTTTTTGTACTATTTTTGCTACTGTTTATGCACAGTAAAAGTACAAATAAATACAGAAGCTGTATACATTTTAAACTTGTCATTATTTGAACCATTGTGTAATTATCACTGTATACATTTCATACAACAAATCTAGGAAGATATATATATATATATATATATATATATATATATATATAAATATATATATATATATATATATATATATATATATACATACATACATACACACACACACACACACACATATTTATCGCTATCGTAATAAATACCTAAAATTATTGTGAAAACAATTTTGGGCCATATCGCCCATCCCTACTAGTAAGCTTCTGAAAAACGTGAGGACCAAGAAAATGTCCTCACTTTGTAGGGGAAACGGTCAAAATGGTCATCAGTATGTACAACACACACGCACGCACACACGCACCAAGGGAAGATGTTTCATTTTTTTTTAGATGAGGGGAACAAACTCACCACCTCATTGTTTACTTTCTGGTTGTCGACAAACGTAATATGCCATTTATAACGTTAGCTTCACGTGTAGCCTTTAAAAGTTGTGTTAAATGAAATTACCTGAGTAGAAATGAAGAGAACACACCCTCTTTGATGGAGGAATGTAGTTGAAAGTCAGATCTTTCCTTCTCACTGCAGCTATCCACGCCATCTGGCGTCTCCTTGTGAGCTCCTCCACACATTTACCGTGATGTTTTCTCCACTTCGGGAAGCGATAAAACTTGACTCCGTTGTCCACTTTCTCTCCCGTCTTGTCGTGTGAACGACTGTGACAGTCCTGTTACTGGGTCCACCTGCTGCAGAGAGACCTCACCTGTCCCGCTGAAGGAAAAGATCCAAACATACAAAAAGCATCAAGTGCTTCAAAAGCTGCCTGCAATAAAGAGAGCAGGATGAAGAGCTTATGGCCGGCGTGCTCCAGTGATGTTCACCCTGAAGTGGAAAGCAGTCTATATGTGCTGCGTCCGTCATTGCTCCCTCAGCTGAACGAGTTTCTGGCTGGAAAAGAAGCACAGCTTCAGGGGGGGAGTGGGGGGAGAGATGTGAGGTCTGAAGGGGAAAAGAATAAAAACGATGAGGGTTGTAATGGTGCCATCAGTTCATTCTTTGGCATTAGTGGTGTGGTGTTCAGGAACATAGCCATCAGCCTGTGGGCCCTGCCTGCTTTCCACCAGCTTCTCCTCAGAGGTGTTTTCCCTTCAGACACCGAGCCAATTAAATTACTAAGAAGTAGGCTGGACAAACTCCTTTCTCCCTACAGAGTCTCTGTAGCAACAGAGGAGAGAAGCCTGCAGTTGACAGTAGAGCCACTGGGTTTGGTTGGTGAGGTTTTTCAAAGCAGTGTAGCTGATAGTTGCCATGTCACCATCACTGTCTCTCTGAACCTGGACCTCCTCACCTTCTCCTGTTTTCACTCCCTGACTGGCGTTTGCTTTGGTCTCACGAGCCACGTTTCATAAGACAGTTTTCACATGGCCCACCTCCCGGGACGCCTTTCTGTCCTTTTTCTCTGCACCCAGAGCCTTTCAGCTTCGATATCAGTTTCTGGACTGGACCATCGTGGGAGGAGAAGAAGTTCTACGCAGCGATCCGAGAGGCCAGCTTAGGGACGGTGGAGCAGGTTCAACTCATGGACACGTTCTCACATCCTGACCTGAGCCAGACCAGTTACTGTTACAGACTCACCTACCACTCACACACGCTCTGTCACACACACAAGCTCTGACATTCCACAAACACCTGGAGCTTCTATTGTCCTCTCGACTGCATGTCACCATCAGGTAGCACGTTGCAGAAGGTCCTCGGAATGTTTGTGGCTGAAACGAATCACGATCAGAATGAAACTGTCATCAAATATTCACAGTAGTTGAAATTATCTGTGAAACATCAATAATCCTGTATGTGTCTGAGTTTAATCTTATAATAAAACTTATTAACCATTAATCTTTTGATAATAAACCACAACATAAAAGTCACACTCAGTAGTTTAAAAACATACGGACACAGATGAGTATTTTATAATAAACACCTGTTGTAAAGCTAATGGTGTCATGGCGGGTGAGAGTTTCTTGACCCACGACATGCAGAATCATCACAAGAAACCGGCAAGTAAGTAAAACGTTCTTTTTTATTAAATCAGAGGAACGGGAACAGGCGACGTGCAGGCTGGCAGCAAGGCTCCAGGAGAGGATTCTGAGGAGGGAGAAAGAGTGAGTATATGGAGGGAATGATGGAGGATAATATGAGGAGGAGAGCTTACTGATGTAGATAGTGGTGAGAGCCTCTGGAAGGGCTAGGTCAGGTCCAGGTGAGCAGGAAGGCTCCAGAAGGAGGAGGGACTGTCGAATATGAGAGGAGGTAGGAGCAGAGGCTTGGTGGGTGCAGGTGAGCGGCTGAGAGCGGGCGGCCAGGGGAGGAGACAGCATGAGATGAAGTGCAGGAATCCGAGCTGGTATTGAGATGGTGGAGGGTGGAGTGAAACCCAAAGCTGAGCAATCATCCGGCGTGGTGAAGTGTCACACTGCTCCTTAAATCCCCTGGGCCTTGATGACGGGATCAGCTGCAGCTGGTGGCTCTCAGACACACCCACCTACAACAATACTCAGAACAAACAGGTTACATGCAGGAGGCTCACCACGGACCGTGACAAATGGTCCTGGTATTAAAGAGCTGTTTAGCAGCACAGCTGCATTACTGCCATCTTCTGGAGTTTTGACCGCATCCAGTCTACTTACTGGTCCTTGTTTCATCAATAACTTTAAAAATAACCTCTGAAATTCAGAAATAAAACTAAACCAAATGCACAAAATAAGCATTAACAAATAGAAATACTTTTGTATACATGTTTCTGTCTAAATTGATTTTTAATTGGTTTATTTGTAATCAGCATTTGACTGAAGGGATTTATGTAATTTTTCAGATCAACTGGGTAGAAACCACATGTCGATGGTTGAAACAAGCAAACCCTTCATTGTCTGACTTTCACGATGAAGGATGTTTCCGCCCTCCTGCGGACAGAAGCTGTTACCACAGCGTTTATATCAAGTTAAACAAGATGATTGGCACTTCCTGTAAATACTTTCAGAATAAAATATACTACTTTAAAATTTCTACAGTTTTTAAATTAGTAAACACCATATTTCATCTAGATCAGTTGTTCCCAACTGTTTACCATGAAGACCCCCGTACCAGTGTTGAAAACAAGCCAGGACCCCCCCAACCCCATCTACAAACACACATCACACATGATTAGTTACAAACTGCACAGACATGCGGTGTTGTAACTCCTATACATATTTTTGATTAGGCGTGTAATTGGGATTTTAGAAAAGTAATTTTTTACAAATAATAAATAATCTTTGTAACCCAACAACCTCAGCACAGACACAGAGGGACCCCTTTGGAGGGTCAAGTTGGGAACCGCTGATCTAGATAACGGAAAATATTTTCTGTGAAAACTTTTCTTTTATACCAACTACGTAACTACTAAAACTCAATCATTTAAAAAGTCTTGGAGAGAGTTTTTCTCCACTGCTTTTGTAGTCCTAATAAGAATTAATTAATCGCTCTTAGTCTGGCCCCTGACCCAGAGCCCAGTTGCCATGGCAGAACCTAACAGGGACAAACAGTCCCAGGCAACATACCTTCTGGGGTCATCAGGGCACGCAAACCCCTACACCGCGATAAGGTGGCGATTAATAGTAGAGGATTTTTTATTTTTATTTTTTTTTGTTCGTTTACTTTATTACTAACCCAACCCCAACCCTGTTATGGCCTAACCCAGTTTTAGAACGCTAAAACTAAACGCTAACACTAAACGCTAAAACTAAACGCTAATACTAAATGCTAAAACTAAACGCTAACACTAAACGCTAAAACTAAACGCTAACACTAAACGCTAACACTAAACGCTAAAACTAAACGCTAAACCTAAATGCTAACACTAAACGCTAAAACTAAACGCTAACACTAAACGCTAAAACTAAACGCTACACTAAACGCTAACACTAAACGCTAAAACTAAACGCTAAAACTAAACGCTAATACTAAATGCTAAAACTAAACGCTAACACTAAACGCTAAAACTAAACGCTAACACTAAATGCTAAAACTAAACGCCAACACTAAACGCTAAAATTAAACGCTAAAACTAAACGCTAACACTAAACGTTAAAACTTTGAATGCTAAGTTTGAAGTTTCCTCCTGAGAATCTTCCTCTGTATCCACAGTAGTGTAACTAATTTTGCATTCTTCAATTTTGATCTGAGTGTAATGGACTTTTTGCTTTTTTTTATGAGAAAGAATAAAGGAACGTGCAATGCAACGCCACAGGCTGAACTCTACTAGAGCTAACACACTGACTAATCTGGTGTGCAGACCCCACATTTTTTTCTAGGCCTATCCAGCCACTCCTATTATATTCAAAGTGATCGATTGACATAATCAGGCTCTTCTGGTCAGCTTGGAGCTCCCTGAAATGTTTTAATATAGTGGCTTCTCTGGTAGCTGCTCCCGTGTTGTCTTTGTGGACACATCTGAGAGCCACGACTTCATCTGCCCCCTGTTTTAAACCCTTGACCACTTGTCTAAATAAACTTATCTAAGAAAATATTGACTAACATAAACTCTTGGATCCCCAGGGATTGTCTGATCTTTGTATAATTCAAATGACATTTCATCTAGGCTGTCTCTTCATCTGGCTTCCAGTTCCGAATCGTACTGCTTAAAGTTTGATAAATCAGCTTTCTGAAACTTGTCAACATCCAATTCTCACGTGTTCACTGGCTCGTCAGTATCTAAGTCAGACAGATCAGAGTTAGAATCTTCTAATTCACAGAGATCTGAGTCTGACAGATTGTGATCAGACAGATTCAGATCAAAGAGATTTGGTTTGTTGTCAGCGGTCTGTCCCACGATGAAATCAGGTGACGGGCCGCTTGTTTCTTCTTCCTACATTATATAAACTTTCCTTTTTTCAAATGCCGATATCACATATGAGTTATTGCTGGTAGGAGGAAGGTGGCTCATTGTTATAAATCTGTGATTTAGAGCTTCTTCTGGAGTGATCCGCTCTGAGGGATTCACTGTAAACATCTTTTTCAGGAGGTCTACGAAAGCCTGCAGATCTTCTAACTCAAAGGGGTCTTGTATTTCTGGATGAATCGTTAAAAAGTCATCGATAGAGTCTAACGCAACATCATGGTCGTCGCTATCGATCATTATCGTCTCCGTATACTCCTGTGGTGTTTTAAACCTCCAAGTTTGGTTTGACTGGTCAAAAATGAAAAAGCGATCCACTTTCGTTCCCTTGCCAAGTAAATCCTGGTCAGGCAGACCGTGGAGCTTAAAGATCTGCCTCATATTGTTAAACTCACAAATAGGATTGTGAATATAATCTCCAAGAAAGATGAAGGCCAGTGTACAAGCAACAGCCCACATGTCAATGGCTTCAGTCAGAGGAAGACCTAAGTTCACCTCTGGTGCTCTGAAACCACATACCTGTATGGTATCATAACGCCATAGTTGGTGTGTTTCCATAGCAACCCCAAAATCTATCAGCTTGACTCTGAAAGGCTGCGACTGATGATTAACCAGCATAATATTGTCTGGTCTTATATCTGCGTGAGTCACTCCAGCATTCTTCAGTGCGTTCAGAGCCACCAGCAGGTCGCGGGCAACCACCCGAACTTCACTGACATCTAGTGGTTTTTCCTGTCTCATTTCCATTAAGTCAAATAAGTCCATATCCAGCATCTCAAACACTAAACAGAAGCTGTCATTTAATTCAAAGTGATCGATTAACTTGATCAGGTTCTTCTGGTCAGCTTGGAGCTCCCTGAGATGTTTCAATATAGTGGCTTCTGCGGTAGCTGATTCACTGTCGTCTTTGTGGATAAATTTGAGAGCCACAACTTCATCTGTCCCCTGTTTTAAACCCTTGACCACTTGTCCAAAAGCAACACGACCCAGAAATGATTGAATAATATAAACTCCTGATTCCCCAGTGATTGTTTGATCTTTGTATAATTCAAACGATGTTTCATCTAGTCTGTCTCTTCTGCTGCCTTCCAGTTCTGAATCGTGCAACTTCATATCTGATAAATTAGCTTCCTGAATCTTAAGGAGTTGAAAATCTGATGTGTTCGCTGGCTCATTAGATTCTTCATCTGTATCCAAGTCAGACAGATCAGAATCTGATAAATCAAAGTCAGACAGACCGGAGTCGAACAGACCAGAGTCAGAATCTTCTAATTCAGAGAGATCTGAGTCCGACAGATCATAATCAGATGGATTGAAATCAAAGAGATCTGATTTTCTGTCAGCAGTCTGTCTTACATTGAAATCAGGGGATATGCTTGGTTCTTCTTTCTCCATTCGATAAACTTTCATTTTTTCATATGCCCATATCACATATGAGTTATTGCTGGTAGGAGGAAGGTGGCTCATTGTTATAAATCTGTGATTTAGAGCTTCTTCTGGAGTGATCCGCTCTGAGGGATTCACTGTAAAAATCTTTTTCAGGAGGTATACGAAAGCCTGCAGATCTTCTAACTCAAAGGGGTCTTGTATTTCTGGATGAATCGTTAAGAAGTCATCGATAGAGTCTAACGCAATATCATAGTCGTCGCCATCGATGATTATCGTCTCCGTATACTCCTGTGGTGTTTTAAACCTCCAAGTTTGGTTTGACTGGTCAAAAATGAAAAAGCGGTCCACTTTCGTTCCCTTGCCAAGTAAATCCTGGTCAGGCAGACCGTGGAGCTTAAAGATCTGCCTCATATTGATAAACTCACAAATAGTATTGTGAATATAATCTCCAAGAAAGATGAAGGCCAGTGTACAGGCAACAGCCCACATGTCAATGGCTTCAGTCAGAGGGAGACCTAAGTTCACCTCTGGTGCTCTGAAACCACACACCTGTATGGTATCACAACGCCATAGTTTGTGTGTTTCCATAGCAACCCCAAAATCTATCAGCTTGACTCTGAAAGGCTGCGACTGATGATTAACCAGCATAATATTGTCTGGTTTTATATCTGCGTGAGTCACTCCAGCATTCTTCAGTGCGTTCAGACCCACCAGCAGGTCGCGGGCAACCACCCGAACTTCACTGACATCTAGTGGTTTTTCCTGTCTCATTTCCATTAAGTCAAATAAGTCCATATCCAGCATCTCAAACACTAAACAGAGGCTGTCATTAAACTCAAAGTGATCGATTAACTTGATCAGGTTCTTCTGGTCAGCTTGGAGCTCCCTGAGATGTTTCAATATAGTGGCTTCTGCGGTAGCTGATTCACTGTCGTCTTTGTGGATAAATTTGAGAGCCACGACTTCATCTGTCCCCTGTTTTAAACCCTTGACCACTTGTCCAAAAGCAACACGACCCAGAAATGATTGAATAATATAAACTCCTGATTCCCCAGTGATTGTTTGATCTTTGTATAATTCAAACGATGTTTCATCTAGTCTGTCTCTTCTGCTGCCTTCCAGTTCTGGATCGTGCAACTTCATATCTGCTAAATTAGCTTCCTGAATCTTAAGGAGTTGAAAATCTGATGTGTTCGCTGGCTCATTAGATTCTTCATCTGTATCCAAGTCAGACAGATCAGAATCTGATAAATCAAAGTCAGACAGACCGGAGTCGAACAGACCAGAGTCAGAATCTTCTAATTCAGAGAGATCTGAGTCCGACAGATCATAATCAGATGGACTGAAATCAAAGATATCTGATTTTCTGTCAGCAGTCTGTCTTACATTGAAATCAGGGGATATGCTCGGTTCTTCTTTCTCCATTCGATAAACTTTCATTTTTTTATATGCCCATATCACATATGAGTTATTGCTGGTAGGAGGAAGGTGGCTCATTGTTATAAATCTGTGATTTAGAGCTTCTTCTGGAGTGATCCGCTCTGAGGGATTCACTGTAAACATCTTTTTCAGGAGGTCTACGAAAGCCTGCAGATCTTCTAACTCAAAGGGGTCTTGTATTTCTGGATGAATCGTTAAGAAGTCATCGATAGAGTCTAACGCAATATCATAGTCGTCGGCATTGATCATTATCGTCTCCGTATACTCCTGTGGTGTTTTAAACCTCCAAGTTTGGTTTGACTGGTCAAAAATGAAAAAGCGATCCACTTTCGTTCCCTTGCCAAGTAAATCCTGGTCAGGCAGACCGTGGAGCTTAAAGATCTGCCTCATATTGATAAACTCACAAATAGTATTGTGAATATAATCTCCAAGAAAGATGAAGGCCAGTGTACAGGCAACAGCCCACATGTCAATGGCTTCAGTCAGAGGGAGACCTAAGTTCACCTCTGGTGCTCTGAAACCACACACCTGTATGGTATCACAACGCCATAGTTTGTGTGTTTCCATAGCAACCCCAAAATCTATCAGCTTGACTCTGAAAGGCTGCGACTGATGATTAACCAGCATAATATTGTCTGGTTTTATATCTGCGTGAGTCACTCCAGCAATCTTCAGTGCGTTCAGAGCCACCAGCAGGTCGCGGGCAACCACCCGAACTTCACTGACATCTAGTGGTTCCCACTCTCTCGTTTTAAGTAAACCAAATAAGTCCATGTCCAGCATCTCAAACACTAAACAGAGGCTGTCATTAAATTCAAAGTGATCGATTAACTTGATCAGGTTCTTCTGGTCAGCTTGGAGCTCCTTGAGATGTTTCAATATAGTGGCTTCTGCGGTAGCTGATTCACTGTTGTCTTTGTGGATAAATTTGAGAGCCACGACTTCATCTGTCCCCTGTTTTAAACCCTTGACCTCTTGTCCAAAAGCAACACGACCCAAAAATTTTTGAATAATATAAACTCCCGATTCCCCAGTGATTGTTTGATCTTTGTATAATTCAAACGATGTTTCATCTAGTCTGTCTCTTCTGCTGCCTTCCAGTTCTGGATCGTGCAACTTCATATCTGATAAATTAGCGTCCTGAATCTTAAGGAGTTGAAAATCTGATGTGTTCGCTGGCTCATTAGATTCTTCATCTGTATCCAAGTCAGACAGATCAGAATCTGATGAATCAAAGTCAGACAGATCAGAATCTGATGAATCAAAGTCAGACAGATCAGAATCTGATGAATCAAAGTCAGACAGATCAGAATCTGATGAATCAAAGTCAGACAGATCAGAGTCAGAATCTTCTAATTCAGAGAGATCTGAGTCCGACAGATCAGAATCAGATGGATTGAAATCAGAGAGATCTGATTTTCTGTCAGCAGTCTGTCTTACATTGAAATCAGGGGATATGCTCGGTTCTTCTTTCTCCATTCGATAAACTTTCATTTTTTCATATGCCCATATCACATATGAGTTATTGCTGGTAGGAGGAAGGTGGCTCATTGTTATAAATCTGTGATTTAGAGCTTCTTCTGGAGTGATCCGCTCTGAGGGATTCACTGTAAACATCTTTTTCAGGAGGTCTACGAAAGCCTGCAGATCTTCTAACTCAAAGGGGTCTTGTATTTCTGGATGAATTGTTAAAAAGTCATCGATAGAGTCTAACGCAACATCATGTTTGTCGCCATCGATGATTATCCTCTCCGTATACTCCTGTGGTGTTTTAAACCTCCAAGTTTGGTTTGACTGGTCAAAAATGAAAAAGCGATCCACTTTCGTTCCCTTGCCAAGTAAATCCTGGTCAGGCAGACCGTGGAGCTTAAAGATCTGCCTCATATTTTTAAACTCACAAATAGTATTGTGAATATGATCTCCAAGAAAGATGTAGGTCAGTGTACAAGCAACAGCCCACATGTCAATGGCTTCAGTCAGAGGGAGACCTAAGTTCACCTCTGGTGCTCTGAAACCACACACCTGTATGGTATCATAACGCCGTAGTTTGTATGTTTCTATAGCAAGCCCAAAATCTATCAGCTTGACTCTGAAAGGCTGCGACTGGTGATTAACCAGCATAATATTGTCTGGTTTTATATCTGCGTGAGTCACTCCAGCATTCTTCAGTGCGTTCAGACCCACCAGCAGGTCGCGGGCAACCACCCGAACTTCACTGACATCTAGTGGTTTTTTCTGTCTAATTTCCATTAAGTCAAATAAGTCCATATCCAGCATCTCAAACACTAAACAGTTGCGATCATTGTGAACAAAGTTATCGATGAACTTAATCAGGGCGTTCTCATGAGCCTGGAGTTCTCTGAGATGTTCCAATATAATGACTTCTCCGAAAGCAGAGTCACGGCGATCCATAAACTTCAGAGCCACTGCTTCATCTGTTCCCTGTTTTAAACCCTTGTAAACTGCACCAAAATTACCTTTTCCCAGAAATTTCTTAAGAATATAAACTCCAGATCGCCCGGTAAGGATCTCGTTTTTGTAAAACTTAAGAGGCATTTTAGCTTAATTGGCTGTTTTCCAGTTCTGAATACTGAAGCTGAAAGACTGGTGACTGATAACTGAATCTTTTCAAGTTCAAAATATGGATTGTCTCTTAAAACTGATTTGATTTCAGCTTTTGACTGTGATAGGCTACTCACCAAGTTCCTGTCGGTAAAAGAATGAGTCCTTCTAAATACTGTCAGAAGGGATGTTTATGCTACACAACCGCTCTGGAGCTGTGATCTGTTCAGAATGATAATTGGAATCTGAACCGACCTTTATATGACGACGCATAGTAGTGACGTCATCAAAGCACCCAGTGGTCACGTGACACAATCAAAGCACCCAGTGGTCACGTGGCATCATCAAAGCAGTGGTCACGTGATTTACGGTGCCCTTAGTTGCTAATGCTAACGCTAACAGCTCAGCGCTGCTAGTCAACATGAGCGGTTACTGGCCGGACTCGACGCTAAAACGACCCTTTTCTCATTTCTACAGATATTTTTTGACCGATAATGTATGTTTATTATTACACTAATTATGTATTTTATCAAAGCATTTATTTTTTGGAGCGCCACAAACATTTATCAACTTTATATTTTTAAAAGATATATTGCAAACAAAACGTAGAAAACACGTGGGTTACAGATCGTATTTAGCTAAAATAGGTATAATTGTATAAAAATAAGTGTTTATAGAATACACCTATCAATGAAAGAATGTGGTTTATAATTTGAGAGCTTCTGTTCTCTGCATGCTAGCATAGATGCTCTTCTTTTTGTCTTAATATAGACTTTAATGTCAGTAGTTCCTTCAGATCTACCAAGCAGGAGAGATAACTGTTTCCAGGATTTAATCTTCAGTCTGTCTGTTCTCTGCCTGCTGTCAGATGGAACATGAGATGATCTAAACTAATTTAAAACACGTTTTTAATAACTTGGGGGAAAACATGTGATTGTAAATGCATCTATAACCCTGCTGATTGTCCTTCCACCCTAACAACTAGTGTAAAATAGTAACTAATTTATTAAAATGTTAATTTAAATAAAGCTATTTCTGGTTAAAACCTTATTAGAAAACAGCATATGTGAGTCAAAAAAAAACATTTTTTATTTATTTCTTTATTAAAAGCCAGAGATCATAATAACGGAGAACTGTGATAAGTTCAACCTGCACAAACATTTTAAGTCAGGCATTGACATGTTTTAGTCTCACGAGACCCCACAAAAGAACTGCTTCAGTGAGATCAGCAAGCTCCAGACTTCTTCAGGACTAGAGGATCCCTCTCTCTGACACCAGAACCCAGATGAAAAGAGACAAAAACAAAGAAACACATCATTTAGCACCACAACAAGCAAACCCCCACCAACACTCCAGCACCAGTACAGATGGGTGGTGTTTTTGGAGGGATTTTAGCTCCCTTACCATTCCTTTTAATACCAGTGATCCTGGAAAAGGCCCCATCACCTAGCCAGCTGCACCACTCCACTTACCAGCATTTACTCCTTCCCTGACCAGACCAGATGCTTCCACCCACCTGATTGTTGCTCATCACCACTCAGGATCATGTGAATACATGAAGATGGACATGAATGCAAAGGCAGCAGTTTGACCTGAAACTTATTAATTAATGATCTAGTTATTTATTTATGCTGATATTTCATTGTTAATAATTCTTCTTGTTCTGTCTTCAAGTAAAGACTATAATCCCAACCTGACCGTGAGTGATAAATAATTTAACAGATGCAAATGAACAGTCCTGCAGTAAGTACCAACGTTGTCAAGGTTCTGTTGTTCAGACGTCCTGATTCAGCTCTGGTTATTCTGGAAGACACGTCGTGTTACCATGGTTATCCTGAGTGTGTAGCATGCTTCAGCAGGTCACGGAAGTCAGCATCATGTGGTTAAACTGAAAAAATAAAATAATTACTCATGTTCATGATCACATTTTACTTTATTGATGATATGCCAAATGCTGCTGCTGTCTGTCAAATGATCTACATCTCTAACTAAACTGACCATGGCCGTCTCAGAATAAAAACAGCTTCCTCTAGTTGGGATGGATTAGTAACTGGAGTTGGAGCGAGTAAAGAGCTGCATGGACAAATGAAGTTAAAAATGTTTCTCATGAAGATTTGTTTGTCCTCTACCACTCTGATGTTCACAGACGGACATTATTGTAATAGAATTCTTTCAAATATTTAAAACTGCACTGAAAGTTAAAAAGCTGAATCAGACACTAGTTTAAACTCACTAAGAATGTATTCTGTATCTTTACATGAAGGGAAAGATAGAAATTTATTAGAAATAAAAGTTATTAAAACTTAAACTGCATCCTAATTATGTCTTATTACTCTTTCCCCTTGACAGATGGTGACATCCTCAAACTAAAGGGAGTTCTTTTGAATGCTTTCATTCTTTGAAGTTTCCTCATCAGAATCAACCTCTGTATCCAAGATCTGTGTAACAATGAAATCTGGTGTATTTTGATTTGTCTTCTTCCCTTTTTTGAGTTCACTCAGATCCACCAGCAGGTCGTGGGCAAACCACCTGGACTTGACTGACATCTAGTGGTTCCCCCTCTCTCATTTGAAATAAACCAAATATATTCATGTAATATGTTTCAAACACTAAACAGAAGCTGTCATTATATTCAAAGTGATCGATTAACTTAATCAATGGTGATAAACTTCAGAGACACTGCTTCAGCTGTTCTGTTTTAAACCCTTGTAAACCTCACCAAATGCACTGTTTCCCAGAAATTTCTGAGGAATATAAACTCCTGATTGCCCGGTAAGGCTGCATGGTGGTGCAGTTGTTGGCACTGTTGCCTCGCAGCACGAAGGTCGCAGGTTCAAAACTCGGCTGCGGCCTTTTTGCGTGGAGTTGCGTGTTCTCCCCATGCATGCGTGGGTTTCCTCCGGGTACTCCGGTTTCCCCCACAGATCACAACATGCCCTATAGGTTATACATTGTAAGTTGCGTTCTTCTATACATTGTTTATCTGGTTTTATGAATGTTAAAAACCTCCTTCACAAGATCAATCCATTGTCCATCTATCTTATTTATTACTGTAATCCATCTTATTTATTAACCTAATCTATCTTTTGATTATTTCCTAACTTTTTCAGAAAGCATTTCCAAAGAGCTTATAATTAATAAATGAAAGTCAATAAATAAGAAAACAAAAGTTAAGAAATAGTGAAAATACAAAATAATTTGCTGGGTGAAAGTTTATTGCTGGTGGGCCGATTCTGGCTGACAGATTTGGGTGTTGGTTGTCTTACTTGTTGGGGTGCACATTTTGTATCGGTGTTCTGTCAATGTGGGCTTTACCTCAAAAGAACCTTGAAATCTCATCTCTACACAAATCGTATTTCACAAACCACGAATACAGTATATATATATATATATATATATATATATATATATATATATATATATATATATATATATATACACATACACACAGACAGATAGATAGATAGATAGATAGATAGATATAGATAATGGGCTGTTTATACTTTAAAATGCTGTAGCTTATTAAATGTATTATCTATGAAAGATTAAATGTTTTGTGGAGTGAAATAACAGGAATTTCTGGGCCAAACCCATCCTATTTCATAGGCACATCTCTGGCGTTCATAACAAATCAAACCTTTTGAAAATCGGTTTAAAACTGAGCAAGTTAGTTTTATTTAAACAGTATATGCACCATTCACCTCAGTGCAAAGAAAGGGGTCAGCTGTATGAGGTAAGATGGCCGCCACGTTCCTGCGTCGCATCCCATTGGCGAACAGCGGGGAGGAGGCATCTAGTGTTTTTATACATATCTATGCTGCTAATCTCGAACAAGGCCACTTGCTCGGCTGGAAATTGAACCGGAAGTTGTAGACTAGCCTCCCAGCGAAAGTGCTAAGATTAGCTAGCCTTATGTTCAGGTATATATGTCGATGGTTCAGGCCCACCTTGTGCACATTTTCTTGTTGTATAAATGACAAATATTGGACCCCCAATTCCGAGTCTGGTCTTATACATTTTTCACCTATTTGTCTTGATAAATCACAGTTTTGTCTTGTAACCATACAAGTTATGTCGTTGTGCTGCAAAAACATTGCGGTAACATTCAGTAAAGACTCGACTTTTCCTTCACATCTTGGTAAAATTAATCGACATGAACTTTTTACCATTTTTACATTTATTACTATTTTGGACTCACTAATCAACACGGTAGAGGACCGAGGTTTCTGTCTGCCTCTGAATCTAAGGACGTGGACATGCCTGGTAGTTGCTGCTGCGTCAAGCAAGGGCGTAGGAACAAATTTAATTTTGGGGGGGACACATTTTGGAAATCTAACAAATCTGTTGTAGGTCAATATTTAGGTCAACTCCACTGAAAAAAATACATTTAATGATTATTTCTGATTCTAACGTGTCACTGAGTGTTTCATGCAGGCTGAACATGAACATAGTCTCCTACCGCTATCTCCTGCATTAGCTTCTGATAGAAAATCTGATAGACGGTGAAACTCTAGGATTAGAAAAGTCTGACAGATGTGACTCTGGGCGTAAGGCAAAGCCCAGAAAGAAAAGAAAATAACTTTTATAGCCCAGTTCACTAACATTCTGTTTTTTTTTTTGATTGGGGACTCATGAGCCAGCCAGAAGGGGAGGAGACTTAGGCTCCCCATTAGCCAGATCCAGGTGATTACCGGCCAACGTGGGCGTTTTAATTATAAAAAAGCTGCATGTGTCAGTACTGTTTTATTTTAATTTAATAATACAGTGCAGGATATATTATCTTATTCATATGGGGAGAGATGTGTAAACAGATTTAATACAAGACTAAAGCTGTGAATATTCAGTCTGAATTGATCTGACTCTCATCAGAATATTTTATTTATTTATTTATTTGGTAGACGCTTTTATCCAAAGCGACTTACAATTTATAACCTGTAGGGCATGTTGTGATCTGTGGGGGAAACCGGAGTACCCGGAGGAAACCCACGCATGCATGGGGAGAACACGCAACTCCACGCAGAAAGGCCGCAGCCGAGGTTTGAACCTGCAACCTTCGTGCTGCGAGGCAACAGTGCTAACAACTGCGCCACCATGCAGCCCAAACTACATCATCCAACAATGCTGACCAACAATCTGAAAAATCTGTTTGCTTCTGACATAATGGAAAAAGAAATAATTCACTTACAACAACAGCTGGAACTACATTAATTTTCAGATGGACAAAAGAAAAAACAGTGGCCAAAATTGCAGTCTAAATGCACCAGAAAGCAGAGTTTAACACTTAGTTTTCTAATATTTCTAAGGAAGCATTTATTTTATTCTTAAACCGTACTGCCCAGCCCTATTTGTTATGGGTAGTGATGGGTCCAGCAACACCGACACACCGGCGCATGTGTCAAGCTCATGGAGCAAAACCTGTGTCGATCAGTGTCGATGCGTGTGTTGCTTTAAGAAAAAGTCACGTGACCAACACTGCTGCTGTGTCGCTCATTGCCAAGGCGCCAAACTGTGTTTAGAAGGTATCGACTCTGCATCTGTCAACGGGATGAGTCGCCGTGAAAAAATTACCATTTCAAAGATAAAACAAAGCATCCCTCTTTACATCCAATCCAATCCAATTTTATTTATAAAGCGCATTCACAAGGCATTACAACCAAACAAGGCGCTGTACACTAAAAATGTTGGTTAAACAGGCGTTATATAAACATGTCGAACACAGATAAAAGATAAAAAGGAAATACAAGAAAATTCCCAAAAATAACAGCTAAAAATCATTAAGACACAGGGTGAAGTAAAAATAGGAAAAAAACATTTTACAAAGAACCTCAATAATACGGAAGTCCATAATTGTGGAGTCAGTTTATAAACAGTGCAGATGTCAGTGAGGTTCATAATTATGTTGTATAAGCTAGGTTGAAGTAGTGAGTTTTCAGGCGTGATTTAAAAATGCTAGCTGTTGGTGCTTGCCTCACTAGCAGTGGTAATGCGTTCCACAGCTTCGGTGCACAGACAGAGAAAGCCCTTTCTCCACGGCTTTTTAAACGTGCATTGGGAACGGCTAGGAGGAGCTTATCTTCAGACCTGAGAGCACGCGGCAGGTTGTAGTAATGGACAAGTTCACACAGATATGGAGGAGCTTGATGGTTCAAGGATTTGTAAGTGAGAAGCATAATTTTGAAGTTTATCCTGAACTGCACGGGCAACCAGTGGAGAGATTTCAGAATTGGAGAAATGTGTTGTCTTCTGTCAGCTCCAGTCAGCAACCTAGCTGCTGAATTCTGGACCAGCTGAAGTCTAGAGAGCTGCTTTACTGATGCCATATAAGCAGGAGTTGGAGTAATCCAGCCTTGAGGTGATGAAAGTGTGGACCACAGATTTCAGAAGACGTACACTCAGGATGTGCTTTAGTTTTGAGATGCGTCTTAGTTGGTAAAAACATGATTTAACTGTGTTATTGACCTGGGCATCCATCTTCAGAGCCTGGTCCATTTTTACTCCAAGGTTGGAGATTACAGAGGATACATTAGGTGAGAGATAGTTGAGGTCAGGTTGATGAGTTGCCGTGATACTGTTAGGACTGAAAACGATTAAGTCAGTTTTGGAGTCATTGAGATGGAGGAAGTTATCAGCTAGCCATTGCTTGACCTCAAGGATACAATCAGACAGAACTTGCGTTGACTGAGTTGGCTTAAATGAAAAGTAGATTTGACAGTCGTCAGCGTAAAGATGGTATGAGACAGCGTGCTTTCTGAAAATGGCTCCTAAGGGCAGTATATAGAGGTTGAACAGTAACGGGCCGAGAATTGAACCTTGTGGGACACCCCAACGTAGAGGCTGTGACTCTGATGAACAGCCGTCCAACATGACCCTAGCAGACCTGTTACAAAAGTATGACCTAAACCAATCCAGGGCAGTGCCTGAAATGCCAGCCCAAGTGTGAAGTCTTGTGATCAAAATGTCATGATCGATCGTGTCGAATGCTGCAGATAGATCCAAAAGTACCAGAACCACATGGAAACCTGAATCTAAAGCCAGAAAAATGTCATTAAACACCCGAACGTGAGCAGTTTCAGTGCTGTGCTGTTGTCTAAAACCAGACTGACAGGTGTCCATTACCTGATATTCATTTAGATGGTTCACCAACTGTGCATAGACTACTTTCTCAAGGACCTTAGATAAAAACGGTAATTTGGAAATTGGTCGTAGATTAGAGTAATCGGTGGGATCGAGGCCGGGTTTTTTCAAGATTGGTTGTAGAACAGCGTGTTTAAAGGCACGAGGAACTTCAGCCAATGTCAAGCTACAATTTATAATGCGTAGCACGTTACTGCTAATTAAAGGAAACACCTCTTTCAGGAGTCGAGGTGGGATAACATCATCTGGGGAGCCAGAGGGTTTCATGGCTGCAACAGTTTTTTCTACAGGCCAAAGAGATGGGCTGAAAGCTTTGAAGTTGCCCGTGAGAGGGGATAAATGAATCTGGAACATGGTTGGTTTGGTGAATCTGAGCTCTGATTACAGTAATCTTATTTAAGAAAAACGGCAGGATTTGGCTACACAAGTCAGCGGACACAGAGGAAAATAGATTTTGAACTGGGGAAAGCACTGCATTTATGGTTTTATATAACACACCTTGATTGTTTGAATTAGCCGTGACAATGCTGGCAAAAAATCGATTTCTCGCTCCTCTGACTACTTTTTGATACTGAGACCAAGCCTCTCTCATGGCCTCAAAGGACACAGTAAGCCTGTCTTTTATCCATTTACGTTCCAGTCTCCTGCAATTTCGTCTCATGGAACGAGTTTGTTCGTTCAGCCATGGGTCTGACTTGGATTTCTTTCGACTTGATTTTAATGGAGCGACAATATCCATAGCAGCCAGGCAGGATGAATCAAGCACATGAAGTGATCCCTCAACTACAGAAGACGCAATAGTAGAATCATATGGAGCTGCGTTCAGAGTAAGAACAGCGGCAAAATCTGCAGCAGTATTGGGTGTGATTACACGAGAGAAGCTGGGACGGAAATATTCAATACGAGGGGCATAGTCCAATTTCAAGTTAAACAAAACTGGTGAGTGATCAGAAAAAGTTGCAGGTAAAATGCCAAGATCACAAATTTCCAGCTCATGACAGAAAACCAGGTCAAGTGTGTGTGTATGACCATGTGTGGGGCCATTAACACGTTGGGAGAAGCTAAAAGAGTCAATGAGATCTAGGAAATCCCTTACCAAAGGTTTGTCAAGACAACAGATATGAATATTAAAATCACCAAGCAAGAGTATTTTTCCATATCTACAGGAGGCTTCAGCCAGAAAAGCTACAAATTCATTTAGAAAATCCTTATTGTAAGGTGGT